TCTATCTATCTATCTATCTATCTATCTATCTATCTATCTATCTATCTATCTATCTATCTATCTATCTATCTATCTATCTATCTATCTATCTATCTATCTATCTATCTATCTATCTATCTATCTACCAGGGGATAGTTGTGTTAGTGTGGGTTACAACCAGGGGATAGTTGTGTTATCTATCTATCTATCTATCTATCTATCTATCTATCTATCTATCTATCTATCTATCTATCTATCTATCTATCTATCTATCTATCTATCTATCTATCTATCTATCTATCTATCTTTCTATCTATCCTTCTATCTATCTATCTATCTATCTATCTATCTATCTATCTCTCTATTTCTCTATCTCTCTATCTCTCTCTCTCTCTCTATCTATCTATCTATCTATCTATCTATCTATCTATCTATCTATCTATCTATCTATCTATCTATCTATCTATCTATCTATCTATCTATCTATCCATCCATCTATCTATCTATCTATCTATCTATCTTTCTATCTATCCTTCTATCTATCTATATAATCAAAAGTTTGCTTTTAGTAATCACTTTTTCCAGGTGGGTGATATCGATCAAGCCGACACAGATGTGAGACACAGACTACGCGCACGGAGCCAACGACTGTACGATATTTGCCAGAAATATCAATTAATAACCACTGAGATCGATACCATTCAACTTTTATCGAGCAAGAACCTATTTATAGACAGATTCCACAAGATTCTTTACTGCAGTATTGAAAAGGTAAACCTCATATCCTGTCCAACGTCAAGAGGCATTAGCCCGACGAAATGGGCTGCAAATGAATTCACAAACTCAAGACCTTGTATAAAAATGTCAGGACGATACGGTTTAGGTTTTTTTTTTTTTCAAAGACATTAAAATTAGTGGAACACTGAATAAAACTAGATGAAACTTAACCCCCTCCCCTACCCCTCCCCTACCCCCCCACCCCACCCAACCCGCCCCAAAAAACTGAATGAATGAACGCATCGTTGATGTTATAGAAGTGATAAGGTGTTAATCGTAACCAAGTAAAGAAGACACGTGATTCATCGCATAACTTGATTTATAAATACGAAATGGGAATACGTTGTTTGAGCTGAATATCCATTTATTCTGGAGCAGAGCAAACCTTACATAGGGGGAGAGGTTAAGGGTGGGCTCGGTCCCCCCCCCCCCACCCACCCTGACGTTTCTAATGGGTGTGGTCATTAAAAATTTCCCTTACAAAATGAATTGTGCGTATTTCTTTAGTTATTAAAGTTTTTTTTAAAAAACAACAACTAAGATTAAAATACCACTTTATGTCACACGATGAGGAACATCAGTTGTTTTTTTAGTTTAAAAAAAATCGTCTCTTTTGAGCATTTAGGAATATGCCAGCATGTTAAAGTATTATAAAATATATACGATTTTAATTAATGCAACCATATTTTTTAGTTGAACTAATAGGCCGCTCAGTAAACTTTTAATACAGTTACAAACGAGATGTATTTAACTGGGCGCCTAGTACAAATTAGTATCAATGAAATGAGGAGCTACTCCTTAATGGCATTACTACCAATCTTTTTAGACGCTCGTTACAGGTGGGCAGTTCGTTCTGGAAAAGAGTTTTCAAAGTTCTGGACGACACGAAGAACACGGGCAAACTAGTGTTTGATATGAGCAGTATGAGCGCCCATGTGAGGTTAGTGGTGCTGATGAATGTGTGCTAACAAGGGCCCGGCTGTGAGGTTAGGGGTGCTGCTTAACGTGTGCAAACAAGGGCCCGGCTGTGAGGTTAGTGGTGCTGCTGAATGTGTGCTAACAAGAGGAGGTTAGTGGTGCTGCTTAACGTGTGCTAACAAGGGCCCGGCTATGAGGTTAGTGGTGCTGATGAATGTGTGCTAACAAGAGGAGGTTAGTGGTGCTGCTTAACGTGTGCTAACAAGGGCCGGCTGTGAGGTTAGGGGTGCTGATGAATGTGTGCTAACAAGGGCCCGGCTGTGAGGTTACTGGTGCTGCTGAATGTGTGCTAACCAGGGCCCGGCTGTGAGGTTAGTGGTGCTGCTGAATGTGTGCTAACAAGAGGAGGTTAGTGGTGCTGCTTAACGTGTGCTAACAAGGGCCCGGCTATGAGGTTAGTGGTGCTGATGAATGTGTGCAAACAAGAGGAGGTTAGTGGTGCGGCTTAACGTGTGCTAACAAGGGCCGGCTGTGAGGTTAGTGGTGCTGCTGAATGTGTGCTGACCAGGGCCCGGCTGTGAGGTTAGTGGTGCTGCTGAATGTGTGCTAACCAGGGCCGGGCTGAGCTAAACGGAGGGTAGCTGTGTTATTTGTGTGCTAGCAAGATGTTGGTTGTGCTGTTAGTGTGGGTTACAACCAGGGGATAGTTGTGTTACTTGGGTGCTAACAAGATGTTATTATACTGTTATTTGTGTTATGGGGGTTATAACTGGATGATTAGTTCTGATTCTAGCGATCCGTTTAAAAAAGGCTGATCATTTTAATGTTGTTCATCCCAGCAATGCAACGCTGCCGATCCATCAGGGCTAGGATTGACATCGTTCTGATTTTTGTGTATACCCCTACCCTGTCGATAAATAGATAAAGTAACCATCTACTCTTCCAGTTTACTGTCGCCTTGTCGCAAACCATGCTTTAATATAAAAATTTATATACCGTAATTAACTTATGAACCTGCCCGTTTCAGTGCTCTTTCAATCAATTTGACATAGTCTTTCACATGGTGTTTGACATAGTGTTTCACATGCTGTTTGACATAGTGTTTCACATGGTGTTTGACATGGTGTTTCATATGGTGTTTGACTTAGTGTTTCACATGGTGTTTGACATGGTGTTTCATATGGTGTTTGACATGGTGTTTCACATGGTGTTTGGCATAGTGTTTCACATGGTGTTTGACATAGTGTTTCACATGGTGTTTGACATTGTGTTTCACATGGTGTTTGACATAGTGTTTCACATGGTGTTTGATATAGTGTTTCACATGGCGTTTGACATAGTGTTTCACATGGTGTTTTACATAGTGTTTCACATGGTGTTTGACATGGTGTTTCGCATAGTGTTTCACATGGTGTTTGACATAGTGTTTCACATGGTGTTTGACATAGTGTTTCACATGGTGTTTGATATAGTGTTTCACATGGTGTTTGACATAGTGTTTCACATGGTGTTTGATATAGTGTTTCACATGGTGTTTGACATAATTTTTAACATAGACCACCGCTCCAAATAATGTTGAGGATTTTCCAAGAAAAAATTACAGTGCATTTGTAATACAAAATAATTATAATACGTTATAAAGTGTTCGAGATGACACATTAACGTAAAATGATATAGTATGTATGTGTTTAGTACACTGAACACATCTAATTCACATATAAGATTTCAAACATCTATGTCGTCCACGTCCCAAAGAAAACATTATTGATTAATACTTTCATCCCACGTCAATATTATTATGTAGAATTATTTTTGCAGCATTAACTTGGGGATCGGTGGGAAAAAAAGTCGCATTTCAGATTTACGGGGCTTGAAGCGAAAATATATTTTAAAAGAATTATTTTTCCAGCATGACATTAATTCAATTGTGTATGACTGCGGCTCTAAGTCAACACAAAATCTTACTACTGCTAAAGTCACAAAGTTCATACTTTAAGGACAGAACTCAGTTAAATGTGTTTTCCCTATGCTAGACTGTTGGATGACGTTTCTGTTTTTCGTCCCCTCCAGTATACCTTGGACCATGCAGTTTTCAACCTACCACGCCGGCAACAGGATAAGGATGTTTCAGACCTACGACAAGTTCGCCTTCGTGCGAGACCCGTTCTCCAGGCTCTTCTCCGCATGGGTGGACAAGTTCTACCTGCCCAATCCCCTTGCCGGCGAGGTGGTGCCAGACATCATCAGTCAGTGAGTGGGCCTTGAGCTAAAGCATAAAATTATGTAAAGGAGGTAGACGTGCACGTGCGACCAGCGGGTTAGCGGTGGCGTTCGATGAGCAGATTACCCCGAATGAAGGTCTATCGCTTTTCCAAAGAATTTATTTTAACTTAGGTGGTTTACTACGGTTAACACAATATTTCCAGTGTCTCACAATCTTGTCTAGCTATGCAAGCGAACATGCAGGCCCAGGACGAAATTGTTAAGGGCATGTGCTCGACTAGAAGTGGGGAAAAAAGTAAAAAAAGAAAACAGATAACCTGAGGATACTATCCTTCTGCCCCCCACCACCACCTCTCAAACCAACACAGAGTGGCCCCATTTCTTCTCTGGTATACTGTCATTTTTTTAAGTCAACAAGGAGAAACAAGATCTCACATTTTCAACAAAAAAGAAAAAAAAAAAATATTGCAAAAGTCTTACAAGCCAATTTTAGGCTTCATAGGATATTCAAGCCAAAAGGGTGGTAAACGGCTCCAAAGACAAGAAAATACAATTACGAATTATTTTGTTTCTTTCGTATTTTGAAATGGATTTTTATTAAAGTATGAATCAATTAAGTGAAATGATTAACACTTTAGTTTTGAAGTTAAGTTTTTGTTAAGAATATTAAAGCAATATTTTAGGAATTTAAAAAATGCTAAATCTTTTTTTTTTTTTTTAATTAAAATATGAATCATTCTTCTTTTTTGCATAACTAACCTCTAGAAAAACGGATTATTAAATAAAAAATTTTTCTGCTCATTCTCAACTTTAGAGGCGTGTTTCCGACGGGTGACCAAGTCTGCGAGCAGAACATATCTTTCCCGGTGCTTTGTCACTACGTGGCCACGTCTATCCTTAACAACAGAGACCTGGAGCCCCACCTGTCCCTCATGGCATTCCACTGCCATCCCTGTCTGATGAACTTGACACTCATCGGCAAGATGGAGACATTCGTAGATGATACAAGGTTTTTACCTAAAACAAATATTTAAGTGATCAATATTTTGCTTCTGGTGTGTCCTGCTTCCTCTTCAAATTGCCTTCCCCCCCCCCCCCCCCGAAACTCTATTTGTCTATATCAATACCCCCCAGTGAAAAAAATGAATGTCACGCATGCGTGAATTTTGCACTAAGTTACATAATGTACTTTATTTTTTCTTTAAGGGGAAAGCAACTATTATATTAATCATTAAAGAGCCACGGGACCATGTAGGACTATCCATACGAGAGTCTGTCTGAATGGCTGTGGGACTATTGTTTAAAGGCCGACATATATATTATAGAAAATGAGAAGTAAACTCTTTTTTTTTTTTTTTGGTAACACTTGGACCCATCGGGAATTTTCTTAAAAGACACGGATCCGGTGTAAAAAAAAACAACAACAAGAGCACCCAGCTAAGCCCTGGTACAGTGGTTCCCAAAGTGTGGTATTATTATTATTACTATTTAGGCATTTTTGTATAGCGCTTACCTTACAGCTCTAAGCGCTTCACAATTATTATTAATATGTAAACTATTTAATCTCCTAAAGTAAAAGAAAAATGAAAAACCAGTTGGGGGGGGGGGGCACGAGAAGAGTTTGGTTGGGGTACGCGCTGCAAAGAAAAGTTATATATATATATATATATATATATATATATATATATTATATATATATGCATTTTAATTCAAGTGTAAGCAATTTTCTTTTTAACGATGTGTCACATATATAGACATGAATATACGGGAGATAAGTAATATTGGAGCTTTAACTCCAGAATATACAGAGTATTGGGACTTGAGAAAAACAAGCTGTTACGCGCTGACTTGTAGTGGGAGAAATTAATTAATCTCCTATTTTAATTTTAATTTGGCTCGTTGTAAACAGTGCCTAACAAAGGACGATACCATAGAGTCAACAATATTAAAGATACGACACCCAAAACAGTTTCTAGTTACAATTAATATCATTTATTAAGTCTTAATATAATTACAAAAGAAAAAGAAAATATAATGACAATCTTCAACTTACATTATGGTAGATCTTGTACCGGTGCACAGTTAACACAGTTAGAATAATGTGCCAATGAATAATGGATGAAATGCGAAATAAAAACATATGAGTATGAGCACACAAATACACAAGGAATAATACACACCTCGCAAAGTTAATAATATCTATCTGAATCTCCGTCCCTCCGTCCGTGCCTGTCAATCCCTTATATAGGTCGCGTAAGCCCTGCCTTCCAGAAAAACTTATGACGTTTCTAGAACAATCAAATTGATTCTACAAAAAAACTATTTGGAACAGATTAATTATTTTTAGTGACTTATAGTAGTATCTGTTGGGATACAGTGACTTATAGTTGTTTTTGTTGGGACACAGTGGCTTATAGTTGTTTCTTTTGAAAAATACAGTGGCTTATAGTAGTTTCTGTTGGGATACAGTGACTTAAAGTAGTTTCTGTTGGGACACAGTGGCTTATAGTAGTTTCTGTTTGGGACACAGTGGCTTATAATTGTTTTTGTTGGGACACAGTGGCTTATAGTTGTTTCTTTTGAAAAATACAGTGGCTTTTAATTGTTTATGTTGGGACACAGTGGCTTATAGTAGTTTCTGTTGGGATACAGTGGCTTATAGTAGTTTCTGTTGGGATACAGTGACTTCTAGTTGTTTCTGTTGGGACACAGTGGCTTATAGTAGTTTCTGTTGGGATACAGTGCCTTAAAGTAGTTTCTGTTGGGATACAGTGGCTTATAGTAGTTTCTGTTGGGACACAGTGGCTTATAATTGTTTTTGTTGGGACACAGTGGCTTATAGTTGTTTCTTTTGAAAAATACAGTGGCTTTTAATTGTTTATGTTGGGACACAGTGGCTTATAGTTGTTTCGTTTGAAAAATACAGTGGCTTTTAGTTGTTTCTGTTGGGATTACAGTTGTTTGTTTTGAAAAATATAGTGACTTATAGTTGTTTCTTTTGGGAAACAGTGACTTATAGTTGATTCTGTTTGGACACAGTGACTAATATTTGTTTCTGTTGGGACACAGTGACTTATATTTGTTTCTGTTGGTACAGAGTGACTTATATTTGTTTCTGTTGGGACACAGTGACTTATAGTTGTTTCTGTTGGGACACAGTGACTTATATTTGTTTCTGTTTGGTACAGAGTGACTTATATTTGTTGCTGTTGGGACACAGTGACTTATAGTTGTTTCTGTTGGGACACAGTGACTTATATTTGTTTCTGTTGGGACACAGTGACTTATATTTGTTTCTGTTGGGACACAGTGACTTATATTTGTTTCTGTTGGGACACAGTGACTTATAGTTGTTTCTGTTTGGACACAGTGACTTATAGTTGTTTCTGTTGGGACACAGTGACTTATATTTGTTTCTGTTGGGACACAGTGACTTATAGTTGTTTATGTTTGGACACAGTAACTTATATTTCTTTCTGTTGGGACACAGTGACTTATAGTTTTTTCTGTTGAATACAGTGACTTATTTATTTTTTTCTTTTGGGACACAGTGACTAATAATTGTTTATATTGGGACACAGTTGCGTTTGGTTGTTTAAGTAAAATTTACCTGGTCAAAATACTCTTTAATCGTGTTAAAGTTTTTTTTAAAACCCAAAGTATTTTTTTTAAAATCAAAATAATAATAATAATAAACAACTCGTTTCTTTTCAGAGAAATTCTAAACATCAAAGGTATACAACTGGAAGACGTCATCGGCAACGTCAGCAGCTTCGAGGCAACCAGTGAAATTGGAATCATCACAGACATATCATTGAGAACATTTTCGTATTTACAGAATAGGTGAGAGGGGTTCTGAATCTTTGGCTTAAAACATGATTATATAAAGGAGCGCTTGTGTTGACAGACACCCATTGGGCTTTTACCAGCAACGCAGGAAAGTGGCCACAAAATATTCTTTAATCAACAGTCCAAAGAATGCCCCATGGGAAAGCTTATTTATTTGGCTTCTGAAAATAAAATTAAACATATTTTCTTTTGAAGCGAGTCTTTCGTTCTTAAAATTACACAGGAGGCCACATTTTTGAGAGAGTTAACAAAAAATACATCAAATGTTAGATATTTAATACAAAAGATTTTTTGCCCCATTACTAAAGCATATGAATGTTCCGTTCATATAATAAGTCGCATAACCTTCAGATTATACAAGTGCAACAGGATTAAAAACTATGTTGTTACTTACTGGCTTCTCTTGTGAGAAATTAATCTCTTGTTTTAAGTTATGGCTCGTTCAAACAGTGCCTAACAAAGGACGATACCATAGATAAATACAATAACAAAATTGCGACACCCAAAACAGTTCAAATTACAATTAATAAGATTTAATTTAGTAATAATAGAATTACCAAACAAAAGAAATAAATTTACAAATCATCAACTTAAAGAGTATCGGAAAATCTTGTACCGGGACAAAACTAGTACAATGAGCCAATTAATAATGATGAATGAAGAATGCGAATAAACACATATGAGCACACAATTAATAATAATACAAATGTCACGTAAAGTTCATAATATCTAACTCCGTCTATCTCAATCTCCGTCTGAATCTCTTTCCCTCTCTCCGAAACCCTATATTTATATTGTGGGTCTACCGACGCGCCCAGAAATGCCTTTACTTTTCTAATACAATCGCGAACATTCGACAAAACACTACTGAGAGCAAATTAATTATTTTTAGTTGCCGTCGTCAATAAACACCACAGATCAAAGACTAAGCCACGCCCATCTATGAACGTAGTGTCTCGTGTGGTGTCAACCAGGGTGCGCGCACGAGGAAAGTTTTGTAAACAAGCTCTACATAACACATGTAATAAAGTGTTGTGCTTCCGTTTCTTCTGAAACAATAACAAAAACTATATCATTTCATGATCAGCTACAGAACTGAACCAGGGGGTCAGCACAAATGCTTTTGAGTGAGGCGTATTTTTCATCAATCTGCTGCGAAAATATTCTGTCATTATCGCTTCGTTAAAAACAGAGCCGTGTCAATGCCTTCAGAGACGACCATGGGGGACCTGGAGACCCCGGGGAGGCAGACTACTGTACTAAACGAGGGGAAAATAAATGCGCAACAACTGGAGTCTCATACCGATTGTTTAAACGCTATAACGCTTTTGCTTTATCTAAACTGTATAATTTTTACCTGTGTGTGTGTGTGTGTGTGCGCGCGCATGCAACATAAATAAATGGGACGTACTCAGCACTACTCTCTCAATGAAATAAAAGCAACGAACACCCCCATACACACACTTTTATGCCTTCAGTGTTTACAAGTATTCAAGTTTCTCGTGCTTTTCCCCCAGAGACCTCGGTTGCCTCACTCTCCACATGGCGCTCACCAGGCTGTGGACATCATTTCAAGTGCGCGGATTGATCTCCAAAACCTTTCCGCTTCCGTTCCATGAGTCCTCGGCACCGTATGACATCATACCCAAATACGTATTCATCTCGGAAGCCGTCTCAGCCTTCAAGAGCTCTGGGTCACCGGAAGTGCGTCATCGACAACGAAGAGAAGCCATGATTGAAGCATACCGGTCGGTTCCACGGGATACTATCTCGATGCTGGAGAAGGCATTCGCTTTGGATTGCCTCCTCTTTGATTACTCCTGTGAGCTTTCCGTGCAGCTATTAGAGACAGACGCTTCAATGGTGGGGGAAATTTATTTTAAAGAAACATAGTGGCGAGCGTAGAAGTAGTTATTCTAACATCGGACAATGTTGTCGACAGCTTTCTCACAACAATACGTTTGATTAATTTCAAAGCAAATGAAACATCATGATAATCCTAAGAAAGAAGCCCACTCAGCATGCGTTATATATGATTAAAGCAAAAGTCGATGATGTAAAACAGAATTCCTGGACTCCGTCATTTCTTGGAAAAAAACACATTCACACGAACAAACACACACACACACAAACATATATATATATTTGAATATATATTTATGAAAGACGCGACAATATATATATATATATATGTATATATATATTTATATATATGATTATATATATATATATACACACAAGGACAACAATCGCCAATTTTTTTCAGCTTCGACTTATAATCTACATATATATATATATATATATATATATATATATATATATATATAAAAAAAAACATATTATCTATATATTATATATATATATATATATATATATTTATATATATATATATACACACAAGCACAACAATCTCCAATTTTTTTCAGCTTCAACTTATAATCTACATATATATATATATATATATATATATATATATATATATACAACAAGGAACATATTGTCTATGTATCAACTGGAATAGAGTTATTTTTACATAAATTTAATCATATGGTACACGGTTTGAGAACTATTGCTTGAAGCAAGAAAACAGCAAAACTAAACAAAACATAAAGATAAATAAATAATGCATAAATAGAAATGGACTTCTTCAGAATTTATTTAAGTATAAATTGAAGTCCACTTGCGAATCTGGCTATCAACATTTTGAAGTAAAATAAAGGTATTCCTTTGGCTCTTCAATGACGTGTCAATAAACAGTATGTTACTCGTTGCGCGGAGCAAAGCCTACTAAGTTCGATTATTTCGTTATCTAAAATTATGATAAACTTGCAAAGCCTTATAAGTTGCCTTTACATTCACATTCAAACCCTACTAAGACGCCAGCCAATGGCAGCAGTTGTTAACAACAAGATTTGCGGAAAAGAACCAATCACAACTTAGTTTGCAGGCCATGATTTTTTTTTTCTACATCATTAAAGATGGCTGAACACGACACGAGCTTCAGCGACATCAGGGTAAATGCCAACAACTCCCCAGTCAAAGTGAGAGAAAGAAAAGGACTTGAGATTCAAAGGTAATCCCAATTAAGATAACCGCATTACTAAATTTATCGAATCCAAAGTTGTTCAAAATTAAATATTGTAGTTAATCTGCAGGTTAAAGTGATAACAGTTTACACTTAGGCTTTAGTTACAGTGACACTAGAGACGATTCGTCTAGTCTGTACTGTAGACTGCTATCAAAAGAGTTTAGTCGGACTCTGCTTGTTTGCCAAAGTGAAAAAAGTGGTTTCATATAGAGTGCTACCCCAGCCTAAGGCTGGGCTAACCACGATGTACATCCAATTGAACAAACGTAATCAACTTAAAAAATTAATTAACACACATTAATTAAATGAAACAAAACAAACCTGTATTCACTACACCACTATTTACATGTCAAGCCATGGACCGCACCCAGCAGCATCGTTTTTCGGCCAGAGGGGGGAATCATCCATGATAGTAGAGTTTAAAAAGATGTGTTTTGAGCGCAGTTTTGAAGACTGTGATGGACGGTATATTGCTGATGTGTAATGGAAGAGAATTCCATTGTTTAGGGGCACAGAATGAGTCGATCGTTCGTTCACCGTATGTTTTTGTGCGATTCTTGGGAACAGAAAGAATACGCGTCTGCGGAGGAGCGAAGCTGTCGAAGGGGAGAATACACAGAAAGATTTGTGTAGTGGGGTTTGTGTGATTCCCCCCTGTTGCTACATTCCTTTGAAAATACTAATTATTTGAGTAGGTCTACTACCAGTCTGGGTTAAACTATTTCTTTCTGCTGTGATGTTATAGGCTCTGACCGAATTCAAAGAACATTACCAGACCATAGACGATTAAAGTTGACCAAATGCATTAAACACAATTGCAATAGTTTATATCAAATTAGTTTTCCTATATATTTGTACATTTTCAAACAAATAATTGATACTTTTGTTACTGACTAATCTGATAAGTTGTATATCTTAACTTTCACAGACATTATCAAGAACCAGTTGTAAGAGCTAATTATAAACACACAATGCTGCATTTAAGTGTGCAGAGTAAACAAGCAAGGGCTTGGCAACATGTATAGCTAAGTTTTAAAGTCACACAACTAAAACAAAGTAATGGCAAAGTTTATTTGATGAGGACAATGTAATGGCAAAGTTTATTTGATCAGCACAATGTAATGGCAAAGTTTATTCAAGCTGCACAGAAATAAAAACAAAACATTAACCGATAACAGGTAATGAAGCAAACAAACGAGACACAATGTAATTAACACACACACAAAAAGTGCTGTGAAGTACCTGCTCGTCAAATGGCTAAGTATTGGGTGGTTTAGTCTAGAGACTATTTCCAAGAGCGTTCAGCTTCATGGGGATTTAAAAAAAAAAAAAAAAGCAACTAGGTTGATAAAAATAGTGCCATTATTTTACATGACAGGACCCTGGGCGGATAGACTAAATCCATCTGAAGCTAAACGGGTGGCTCTGTTGCTCCGTGTCAGGGGACGATTCTTTTCCTTCGTGTGACAGTGTATTTGGCGTTTAAAATAAAAAAAAAAAAAAAAAACTTAAGGAAAAATGAATGAATGAAAAAAAAAACCAAAAAATTTATAAAAAACAAGAAAATGTGAGGGTGACAGAGGAGGACCAAAATGATATTCTTTTTTTTTTTAATTAAACGGGTGGCTCTGTTGCTCCGTGTCAGGGGACGATTCTTTTCTTTCGTGTGACAGTGTATTTGGCGTTTAAAAAAAAAAAAAAAAAAAAAAACTTAAGGAAAAATGAATGAATGACAGAAAAAGCCTTGAATTTTATAAAGAACAAGGAATTGTGCGTGTGACAGAGGAGGACCAGAATGATTTTCTTTTTTTTTTTAATCTTCAAGGCAGTTTCTGATACAAGTCCAAAGAAGCCCTCTTCGCGTTAAAATGCAAGAAAATACGCGTTATTATAACAAAGGGGGGTGGTGTACATGTTACAGTTCTTTATCGTCCCTGTTGCGGTCACCAAGTAAGGGAAATCATTTGTAAACAATGCAAGCCACATTGTTCCTGGCGTCAAAATCGTTGACGTAAAAAAAAAGGAAAATACAATCTGTTATTAGAAAGCCTTTAATGGAGCATGTTGGGGATGGCTAGGACAGAGATCCACATGTAACTTCTTGAAATCTGTCATCACTTTGGATTCTGAGCAACTTCGACCTTCCAGTATTGAATTAGAAGATGAAGAGTGTTGTGGGGAGGGCATAAAGAGCGCAAGCTCGACGGCCCGCTGACGCCATTTCTCAATGTAATATTTGGTGAGGACAATGTAATGGCAAAGTGATTGCAACCGGCTGTTGGTGTTTAGATTTTTTTTTAAATACAAAATGCAAGAAGACGTCGCAGCCTTCAGTGCATTGTTAATGTTACTCAAATTTAACCCAACAAAATTGTTGATAATGGGTTGACAATAGAAATAAATTTTCTATTTCTGGCAGTAACAATTTACTGAAGACTTTGTGTTGTGATATTGTAATTATATATGTTGTGCTTTAGTTATTTTCCGCATTATGAAATCGTAATTTCATGTGTTTTGATAGAGTAATTATATGTTTTGTCGTCTTTACTTTTGTGATGGAAATTTGTACAAGTAATACAAGTATAAGGCTCTTCAAATACATTCAGTACAGTTAAGAGAATGTAAAAAGAATATCCCTCATTATGTATTTATTAATTTGTTATGGGTTGTCAAACCTCCAAAGTAATTTCAACCACTTTCAAAATCTGCTGAGTAATATCAACCCCTTTTAAAGATCTAGGATTAACGTATCCTGATGTTTTTAAAAAAAACACATCTCCCCCCCCCTCCCCCACCCAAAAATAAAATCCATCTTAAGTTACCTAGCGGGTTTCGCAAGCGGACTTTTAAAATACTAGTGTACAAAGTGGACTCCTCAAATACTAGTGTACAAAGTGGACTTCTCAAATACTGGTGTGGTCCCCTGGACTTGCGCACCGAAACAAAACAGCAAAGTAATAATTTAAAAAAAAAAAAAAAAAAAATTACTGTGAAAATAATACTAGTGTAAAAAGTGGACTCCTCAAATACTAGTGTACAAAGTGGACTTCTCAAATACTGGTGTGGTCCCCTGGACTTGCGCACCAAAACAAAACAGCAAAATAATAATTTAAAAAAAAAAAAAAAAAAAAATTACTCTGAAAACGAATTTTAACAACGCTAATATTTGGTATAGCAGCAAAAATTTTATTTCTTCTGTACAGTTAAAAACAAGACTAGCAACAGTGTGCAATGAATTCAACAAACACACACACATAACAAAAGTGTGATATTGTGTGGGAGAATGACAATACGTGAGAAGGCATTGAGCAGTGGTCGTCTGGAAGCAGCTGAGGGGAATGCATTACAAATTATGTAGGAAACGTTCTTTTATTTAGCCAGAAATGTGGAAAGAGAAAAAATAAATTAATGAACTAGTCTGAAGAAGATGCATTAAGTCAATTTAGAAATGGGTCAACTGATGCAATTGATGCTTTAAATGAAATTTAAAAATAAAACATAATTACGTATGTCGGTTGTTAAAAATTCATTTAAATAAAAAAAATTTGTTTAACATGGCAACAACAACAACAAAAACTAGATTTCAACTTAAATCAGCTGAAGATATAATCTAGGCATGTGATAAATTTTTCAAAATTCTTAGAGAAAGCAATGACACTGTAAACGGTTTGCTGCCAAGCTTGGCAAGGTAATGAGTTATGTGGACTCAATCTCAAAAAGAAATTTCACGATGTTTGGGGTTTCCATGGACTGCTACCAAAAATTGGCTACATAACAGCCGCATGAAAGATTGAATGACATCAAGATGTATTTAGCGCAAATACATGTTTAAGGGTAAGTCATGTACATCAAAGTTATAAGTTGTGC